TGCTAAGAGCAGCGCCAGTATCCACCAAGAAATTCAAGCCAGAGTTTCTGTCTCTAACATAAAACAAGCGACTGTTTAGCCGCCACTCCTCAGTCGTCGCGACCTGGGGAGGGGTTGCTCGTTTCCCGCTTTCTTGGAATGTAGCTTAGGCCGGGCGCATGGTTGCATGCACTTGGTTGAGTTGACACCAAACTTCCAGTGGTACCAACAAAACTGCCCAGATTGTCTGGCAATTTGTGACCTGTTTTGTGACTCGGACCTTGGTCGTTGTGGTGACCTGCTCCTGTTTCTATAACCCATTTGCATTCTGGTGACAGCCTCAGTGAGTCTTTTAACACTCGCAACGAGTCCTTCTATGACTGGTTCTTTTGCTGGTTCTTCTTTTTGTGAGTGATTTATCGTGCGTGATCCAGTTGGAGGACCTCTTTCCATTATTCTATCGGCCATATGCGCTAAATGAGATAATGAGGTTTCAGGATCTTGCGCATCCAAACAATGTTGGGCGTAGCATGGGAGAGCTTGTATCCATCCTTGTTTTAGGACTACTTCACCCACTGTGTTATCACCCACTAAGACTTGGAGGTGACGTAAAATCTGTGACGGCGACCGATCACCTAGTGTTTCACCTTGAAAAAGTCTTTGGATTCTTTGACTATCTGATAATGATAAACGGTTAATTATCTCTCTTCTTAAGATGGTGTATGGTTGTGGTGATGGTGGATCTAAAATCAAGTCACGGACTTCTTTGGGGACTGAAGGAGGAAGGATAGAACACAAATCTCTATAGCGAATCCCTTGAGATTTGATATTGCGTCTCGTGAAATAATAATCTAGTTGAGCAAACCACAACTCAGGATCACTACGATCAAATTCTGGAAGTCGGGATTTTGTAGTCATAACACTGTCTATCTCCACTGGTGACAAATCCTCCAGATTATGGGTTTCTATTGAGTCTGACATGAGGTATTTGACAAATATAGCAATAAAGTTAGCACGAAAAATGGTTACTATAACACGAATAACTTAAGATCATACGGAATATAACGCTTATAAAAAATGAGGAAGTGAATGAATACTTGAACAATACTGCTTTAGCATATACTTGGTTGTTTGGGGTCAACTCTTAACCAACCAACCAGAGTTGTTACAAGCCCACTCCTATTGCTTGGATGCGTAAATCATGGAATAGATAGTCCATTGATTGTGTCTAGCAAAGCTTTAAAGTCTGGAGTTAACGTTTTAATCAAGAAGTCCCTAAAGTGTCACCATCTTAGAAACGACCTTCAGTGGTTTGTGTTAAGATCACGGCTGACTGATTTTGGTCATTAAACATTACACGAACAAACAGAATCTGCAACGTTGAGAAGACAGTCAACTGTATTCAAACCACATTTGTGACGAGTATAGTATACTGACATCCTTCTCCGTAAGAGAAGAAAAATGTGGGAGAGACTTAGGTTACTGGGGACTGATGAGACAAAATCTCAGTATCGAAAAGCTCGAAATACCTGTGCCTCGACCCTCCGTAAGTCTAGAAAGTTATACGAAGAAAAAAGTGTTAAGGGATCCATAGAATGTCCTAAACGCTTGTATTCCTATATAAACCGAAGGACAAGGAGAAGAGGAAATATTCCTGCTCTATGGGGAGTTAGCACTGCCGCATCATTAGTGGAGGACGACTTTGGTAAGGCTCAAGTGTTCTAAAACTACTTTAGCAATGTATATACAATAGAAGCACCTTTCCCGTCAGTGCATACAGATCCCCCCACACATACACTGGATAGCGTGACCATTAAAGAACTCGATGTCTTTGGTCTACTAAACAAGCTTGACATAGGTAAATCCACGGGTAGAAGAAAGGAACCTGATTCCAAGTAATTCACGTAAACTGATTGGATCCGGAATGTATGTCCGTGAGGACCTCAGCCTAGCTGATCGTATTAAGAGAAGAGCTGCAGAAGCGGAAATAAACGAGCGTCGCTGAAACGGTGAAAGAAACCTCGTTCTTAAGGGTTTTCAGATTGTAAAAGTTCGGAGCAAAACGATCCCCAAGCCACTCTGGGTGGCAAGGGAAAGCTCTCCACAGACTTAAAAGTGTGCTACACAAATGCTCGCAGCCTACTAAATAAAATGGCGGAGCTCAAGTCAGTGGTGGATAAAGAAAAACCGGACGTTATCGCTGTCTCGCAAACTTGGTTAACGTCAGAAGTATTAGATAGTGAAATCCAATTGACCGGTTTCATAACCAGTAGGGCTGATAGATTAAACCGAAGGGGAGGCGGGGTTATTGTGTACACGAAAAGTACCCTAACCATAAGATTAGCTGAGACAGTAGCACATGTTTCAGGGACATGTGAACTGGTGAGATGTAAGTTGAAATGCCGAAGGCAAGATATTGAAGTAGTTGTAGTTTATCGCAGTCCAGAATGTGTAGCAGATGATTTTCTCCTCAGTAAACTTAAGTCCTGGTGTAACAACGGTGAAAGCCTTGTAGTAGGCGACTTTAATGCACCATATATAAACTGGGTTAACTTAGAAGTAGAGTCATCTATATCGTCGTTCGACTCCAAACTGTTAGAAACCTCGATTGGACTAGCATTATTCCAACACATTAGAGATCCCACAAGATACGACTTAAGAAACTCTTCCTCTCTTTTAGATTTAGTCTTCACACTCGATGATGATGTTGGTCAAACGGCTTTTCTCCCACCACTTGGGAGAAGTGACCATGCAGTCATCTTATTCAAATTCATGGATGAAATTGCTTCTCAAACAATTGCGCCGGCCCGTCCTAACATATGGAAGGCAGATATGCAGGCAATTAACTCCGCAGCATTGGCTGAGAACTGGGAAATTGACTCAAAGGCATCAGTACAAGAGGCATGGATTCTATTCAGACAGTTATACAATCGGGTAACTCAACCATACATACCCTGGACTGTCCCAAAGAAAAAGAAGCACGGACATCCCTGGATAGGGCGGGATATTCGACGCTTACTAAGACAAAAGAAGAAATGCTGGGATGTTGCCATCCGCCTTGGCACAGCAGGTACGATGGAACGCTACAGATCGATAAGAAACGAGTGTATAACTAAAATTCGGGAAGCGCAAAGAAAATATGAAATGCAGCTGGCAGAATCTGCACTAAAGCAGTCCAAGAGGATATTCTCGTACATAAACTACAGAACAAGGATTCATCACTGGATTCCCAACCTAATTAAAGTAGGAAGTGAATCTGAAATGATAGAGGAAGATCAGGAAAAAGCTGAGGTTATGGCTGACTACTTTGGGGCAGTTTTCACTCAGGAACCTCCTCTAGAGAAAGAATCAGACCCAATTACAGAGTTAACAAACCAGCTGCTCACCGTGGACTTCGGCCAAAACGATGTGCTTAAAGCTCTTAGCACCCTAAACATGGAGAAGTCAACAGGACCAGATGAATTACACCCTTAAATTTTGAGACATATTGCCCAATATATCGCAGCCCCACTGACTGTGGTATTCAAAATGTCACTTGACCAAGGTGTGCTACCTATGGACTGGAAGGACGCGATCGTCACTCCCATACATAAAACAGGTCTACGACAAGTTCCATCAAATTACAGACCCGTAAGCCTCACCAGTGTTGTAATTAAAATACTGGAAAGAATAATCAAACGGACCATAACAGCATTTATGGAAACCAATAACTTGCTGAACATGGCACAACATGGTTTTAGAAAGGGTCTATCCTGTACAACGAACATCCTTATAGCTAGGAAGCTCTGGATTAATGCGCTAGACAACGGAAACTCAGTGGATGTTGTCTACATAGATTTCAGTAAGGCTTTTGACAAGGTGCCAACTAATAGACTGCTATTGAGGTTGGAAAACCTTGGTATTTCCGGACCTCTTTTAAAATGGATTAAGAATTTCCTAGTAGGTCGTAGACAAAAAGTAAGAATAAATTCCAAGTGCTCCATCTGGAGACCAGTACTTAGTGGAGTACTCCAAGGTTCCGTCTTAGGTCCTTTACTTTTTATAATCTACGTTAATGATCTTACAAGTATAGTACAGTCTCTAATGTTATTATACGCTGACGATGTAAAAATTTGGCGAGTAATAACTGGAGACAAAGACGCATTAACTCTTCAGGCGGACTTAAATAATATGATAAACTGGTCTAAAGAGTGGCTAATGCCTATCAACTCGGAAAAGTGTGTCTACATGCACTTGGGGGATTCAAAGGTCAATACGTACAACATAGGGGATGTGTCATTACCCGTAGTCCGGTCTCATAAGGACCTAGGGGTGACAGTGAGCAATGATCTTAAGACGACGGCCCACTGCCGGGAGGTCGCAGTTAAGGGGTTTCGAACCCTCTGGGCTTTAAAAAGGACATTCACTAAGCTTGATACTACCATGTTCACCACATTATACACATCCTTAGTGAGAACTAAGTTAGAGAACTGTTTAAAAGGTGACTCAGACATACTAGAAAAGGTACAGAGGGCAACTACGCGTGCAATTCCGGAACTCCGGGGTTTATCATATAAAGAGCGGCTTGAAAAACTGAACCTCTTTACTCTGTCCTATCGCAGACTAAGGGGAGATCTAATATTGATGTACAGAATACTGAGAAATGATTTCGGACCTAACTTATTCTCTCTCTTTCTTCCCACTAGGTCGGGATATCTCATAGGGCATAGCAGACGAGTAGAAAGTACAAGAACGAACAAAATACCCGTGGCATACAGGTTTTCACACCGAGTCATCAATACTTGGAACCTGCTGCCTGAAGCAGTGGTGTCGGCACCTTAAATTGACTCTTTCAAGAGAAGACTGGACACTCACAGAAGCATACTAGAAAAGGAATAACATAGGCCGTAGGCCTTCTGTCCTTACTACACAAATCTGAATCTGAATCTGTAGTGAATTACTGGAATTCTCTACCGGAACACGTAATATCAGCACGTCTGTTAATATATTCAAAACGAGGTTGGACCTCTACAGTATCACAAACTGCAAGGATTAATATAGGTCAATAGACCTCCTATCCTTATTACTGAAAACTGAAGACTGAAAAATGTGAATTTGAACGGTACATATATAATTAGCATATGCGCTAAATTACCAAACGTACCTGCTGTTAAGGTAGATTGAGTCTTTAGGTACTTCATGCCTAAGTAAACCAAAGAAACTTTTGTTGCGTGCCATGTGGAAATAGTGCTACATTTCCCCTTTTTGTCGCCATAGGCAGTGACATGTCATTGATTTTACTTTGAATTATCTACTTTCCCCCTAAATTTACACAGAACTGTCTGCTTCTCGCCTAAATACGCTAAAAACTGCAGCCTACCTCTTAATACCTAATTCTAACATTCTATCCTGTATTATAAAATTCTGTGAACAGCTTTAGGTTACTTTTGATAGAGTTTTGTTCTCTTAGCTGGATGGTGTGGTCGTGGAGCTTTCATCGTTCTTCTGAACGACATCACCAGCACAAACTCCTAGCTATAGGTTACATTTAACAGCTTAGTAGTCATATATAAGTTGATTCGTATCTGAAAGAAATGTAATCAGCAGTCACGTAAAGTGGCTATCAGCTTCTCGTTAATTAACGAGATGATTAATCATTGGAATTCAAAACCAACTTTATTTCACTTTCAGGAACCAAGGACTCAATATCGCTGAACGTTCAGTAAGAATACATAAGTCTGTTTGAATGCCTCAATTCAATTTGTGGTTACAGTAGTCGAGTGTTTGGATTCATTAGGGTAAACTCAGTCAGAAACCCGGAGTTGTTTTTCTGTGGCATGATCCAAGAGTATAAAATTCAGTCGGCGTACGGTAAAATGTCATAACATAGTGGATGTCAACCACTCATTATATTTAGTTTTTATGCCTATGGGGACTCAAATTTACTGTATAATCCTGGTGGGTGGACCGAAGATGTAACTCTCAAGTTTCTGTTTTAGTGAAACTCCAAAGTTTCTAAAGTATCTTTCCTTTTTGTCATTGCTATCCGGCTACCCGTTTTGCTAAATGCTTACCGTGTATTTTAACTTATATTTCTGTTTCTGCTACGTATATATAAAACTTCTTATTCGAATAGTTAACTGGACGCTTTGGTATGAACAATTTGTGCACAATATTCAGGTCTAAGTCGATTGAAGAATGAGTGACCTAAAAGCCTATGACATTTTATTATTTTCATTTTATGTCCATAAATAGACAGTTCATCATAATTGTGTGTGGGCTGTGATACTGCCCGGGTGCCCAGACCGAATCAGGTGGTTTTCTTAGGGGGCCACATCCCGAGCCTTTGACCTTAAGGTCCGACCCACAAGGCAGTGGAGCATCGTGAGGAGATGCAGTCCCATGGTAGCCGGTTACCAAAAATTGGTTCATACGCCATTTGTTCCCGCAGGATACTGGAGCCCATGTGCAACATTGGTTTGAGATCCGGCTAAAGCGCCGGATATCCGCTTTTTGTCCTCTCATTTTCGTAAACAACACCCCCGCCATGAGAAGGCGGTGAGTAGGACTTCCCTGACAGATGCTGTATAGGCGTGACCGTGTGAGAGCATTTCGAGAGGGAGGGCGAGCCCACACCACTCTCGGCCATACCAGGACATTTTGGGGCGCATATGTATTTGGTGCCCTCTTGTACCAATATTTATGTGTTCAAATAAATAAATAATTTTATGTCCATATTCTACTTATTAGCATGTTATTTTATTATATGAGAAAAATTCATCTGGCTAGTGGTCTTTTTTTATTTCTAATCATTCGGGGGCCTAAGCCAATTATGCAGTCTTGTGAGCAGCCGTCACCCGGTCACACTATATCATTGCATTCATCTGTCAACTACTTTGCTATTCATCGATTTTGACAGTCAGGGTTTTGTCTAATCAAAATAGGAAATCTTCGCAACTGTAGTCCTCACAACGACCTTGTTTTTCACTAAATTATTTACCAAGTAGAGGTCCGCGTACTCGGTTTTAATTCAGATTCTAATTATGAAAGCTAATGATACTACCCAGTTGTCTAACCTAGAGTAGGTGGCGTGGGGCTGTAGCATGTGACTTAATAACTAATGTATCGCTCCACCTAAGGTAACCTATCATGCAAACATTTTCATTGCTATTCGATATCATAAAATTTTTGTGGTTTGTCACGTATAACCAGTCATTTACCATTATGTTTCAGCACTCATGTTTTCTCTTAAACCAATAAGACTGACTTATGCTTTCACTAGCTGTCGTCATTCATATCATAGTATGCTTCCAACTAGTTCGAAGAAACGACGTACGTGGGTCACTTATTCCTTGTTGGTATGTTATTACTGTTTACAAGATAATGATTTGTTTTTTGTGTAGTTAAGGATTTGTATGCTCATATTTTCTCAGCTTTTATTCGTAAATGTATCAATAAACATCTGAAATATGTTTATTTGTATGTAAATGGAAACGACTGGCAAGCAGTCTGATCGATCAAGATTCTGTATTTCTTCACAAATAAAGATATTTTCTCTTATGTCTGATACACAGATCATGACCGAGCACTTCGGTGCATCAACCTATTTAGGTCTTTTTGGAGTTATAATTTTCTTGCTTTGTTGACTGATAAAATTTCAGTGCTTCTGCGAAATGTTCGTTCAACTTAGGGCTGTGTAACATGGCTTAAGAAGTCTGTTCATAAAATCACTGGTTGTTATACTATGTTAAGAAGAGCAGTTCACTCTTACTCGTTTTGGTCTGAGTCAGCAAAATAATTCTTCAGAGCTATATTTAACGTTTTAGTACTGATGAGTAACTGTCCAGCCATTAGTTATTTGCTTTTTAGAGAGGATAAGTTGAGCAAATCAGTCCACGCACCTGATTCTGGAAGTGAAAGTATTCAACCCCAATAATCATATTTAAGTCTATTTTCTGAGTTTACCTTACACGCATTTCGTCATCGTTCCTGGTGCTTCTCAGTCAATTGTATCTAGTTAAACCTAGTATTGTACTTAGTTGCGTAGCCCAAATAATTTTGAGATGACCGGAAGTTAAGCCATTAAATCAAAAATCCATGCTTGACTCTTGACCATCAAACCATGTATTAACACCCATTACGTGATTCGATCAAGACAATCAGACAATGTCATTGACACTCACTACAAAAATTTGCCTCATAGCTGGACAACTAATTCTACATGTGATCACTAAATTCTTTACTGTATTACTCACAAAAACTTCTATGCATCTTTTAGTAGTCCTGTATATATGTAACCTTACAAGAAGTGTTGTGTTCTCTTTCCTGTAAATTGTTGTATACGAAAGGTGTGTATGCTAGATTTTAGAAAGTCCCATTATATATTTGTGGTTTTTTGACAATTTGTTTCAGGTCCTTCCAGCTACTGCATTCGCTTTAGGATATTGGCAGATACATAGAAGAAGGTGGAAAATTGATTTGATTGGAAAACTAAACGCAAGGATTCCTGCTAAGCCTATTCAATTGCCTAAGAAGTTTGTTTTTCTCTTTTAAATGTAATCATATTTTCGCAATTTTAGTGTTGACTCTAGCATTCAGCTTCCTGAGTTCACTCATATCTCGGTTCGAGGTTGTTTCGATCATTCACGAGAAGTAGTAATTGGACCACGCTCATTGATTGAAGATTTTATACCTTCTAAAGGCTATGGAAGCGAATGGGTAGTGAGATCACCAAACAAGTATATGCAGGCGAATATGGCTCGTCCATCTGCTTCTGGTTATTTTATCGTAACACCATTTTTCTTAGAAGATAGACCTGGGTAAAAAAATGAACTTTTGGGGAATCGATTCCCTATCTTTCTGATTAGTTAATTGACATCTGTTTTAGAACCTCCATATTAGTAAACCGTGGATGGGTCCCATATGGTGCACGTGATCCTACCATTCGACCTAATGGTCAGGTAATTAATGATTAGTCTAAGAATTTATTTCTTCATGGCAGTTTACTAACAAAGTGTAATTCAGTTTGCTACTTTTTCCCTGCCTTTCTGTTAACCCAACGTAACAGATCTATTGACCTTCATCAGTTTTATTCTAATTTCAGGTTAGACTAATTTTCAAAAGCTTTTCACTTTATATACACTGAGTGAATTCGTGGTTCGTCGATCTAGAGTCTCATTTTTCAATATTATAATGGCTCAATCATTTTTACTAAAATACTGAAATAATTTAGATGGTTAGTTTGTCAATTTACTCACGACATTGATCCTCAACTCCCAAACAGGTAGATTAAAAAACTATTTACTGAATGAGTAACCATGCGAATTGATGTACAAGTTAATTAAAACTAACACCCATGTACATAGTACTTGATCAAAGTAGTATGCCCATAAGCTCTGTCATTTCTCAATTAAATGATAAATTTTGAAAATAAAGGTCACTAAACAATCAATGTCCCTTGACAGTCAGTCAGCTACAACGTAGGACCAGGCACATATATGCATCGGTCCAAGTTGCCATACCTCATTAACACAACAAGATGAACACCGGATTCATAAAAGTAGTTAATTCAGAAGTGGTAATATATAAAAGAAAGATTGTAATAAGGATATAGTACAGGAAGAAAGAATTAGTTCGTAGAAAGAAAGATATGAAGCGATTTTAATCTCTTGGTTTAAAGGAAGACAGAGGGTGTATACACCGACGCCATTATGATGGATTCTGAGCCATGTCACTAAGAGTCTACAACCATTGTTTACGATAGTCACGCGGACCCCAACCAAGTAGTCTGCATCTACCAACATGGCTCAGACTAGAAGTTAGTGACCTCAAGCACTGATGCCAGCCTGCTTTGACGGATTGCGTTATATTATGGTGGAGAGTTGAGTTTTTGGTAGTCATCATTTTTCATCGCGTCATGAATATTTATAGTTTTAGGATCATTTCCTCCAATAATTGACGCCAATTATTGAATTATTACAAAGCATAGAAATATTTCGCCCTAATTTAAAACTCTTCAGCATTGTGCACCCATAATCCCTTAAAGTTTTATCAAACCTTGAAACAATAGTCGTATCCTTAACAGTGATTAGCCCCCAAATAGTTTCTGAATGAGTTAATAATTAAGTAGGAGCTAATAAGCTAACCACGTCTGGTATACGACATTGAATAAATATCAAGTATGGGGTTGTGAAGATTGAGATGGTAGAGATTATTAGGTTTTTCATTGAGATCATAAACCGATCGATGTTAGACCACCATTTAAAATCTGGAAGTACTGAACGGCAGCGCTCATCCACACGGGATTCGAACCAAGGGCTCTCGTCGTGACCAGTGGAGCTAATTCGTGTTGGGTAGATACAGGTATCTACCTTAGAATATTGAAAGATGGTCGCGCAATTTTGTGGATTGGTTGGGGTTAGGCGTTAACACCGTTGGATGCCGGCTCAGTGGTTTGGAGGTTAAGCGTTCGCGCGCGAGGCAGAAGGCTCTGGGTTTGAATCCCGTGAGCGGGATCGTGGATGCGCACTGTTGAGGAGTCCCAAAATAGGACGAAACGGCCGTCCAGTGCTTCTATGTTTTTAATGATGGTCTAACATCAATCGGTTCATGATCTCAATTGAATAAACATCATATATTACATGCTATTGACTGCGATTGGAGATATAACACTGGATTTTCATTAAGCGATATCATACCCGACTTAATTTCCATAGGTTTTTTGGTTTGATCCTGCTTGAGTTCATTAGTATGCTTTCCTAATGAGTTCAAAAAAGTAGGATTTGTTAGCTAAACAGTACTCATTAAATCTATTTAGTTTTCCTACAGACAATTAGTTTTCCTACTGTCTAGCGTTATTTAGTTGAAAATAAACTAGTCAGTATATCACGATTTGGGACGTGATCAGAACACGGGACAGTTAAGAATATGTCCTATTAATACTCACTGTTTCTTTATCTATTATCCTCACTTCGTAAGGTATGTTGCTTTTATTTACTGTTATGTTCAGAACTCTGTATTATAAGCTAAAGTACATTCATTGAAAAGAAAATTCATTATTTACTTATTGTGATACATATGTATTTTTTTCATAAATTTTAGGTAAAGGGTGTCGTAGAACTGTCAGGTTATATACGGTATCAAGAAAAGGTAATTTTACTATATATATAATATGTAGGCCCATCAACTGCTGTTTTAAACTCCATGATATTATCTGACAGACTTAAATTACTGTATCAAACGCTCAAAAGTTTATTCCCTGTTTTTTTTTTTGTTTCACTTGATAACTTTTAATGTGCGAATATCAGTAACATTTCAACTATTAGGTTCATTTATATAATGTGCACACCTAATAAGATCTCTTTTATAATTGTTTAGTATTATGGGATATTAGTCAGTGTTAATGTTCTCTACTATTTAGTGCTGATCAGATTTTGATCAACTAATTTTTAATATGGGTACTGGCCTGTTTTACTTGTTAGCGCACTCCACTTTGCCTAATAGTTGTAAAAGAAGTTGGGAAAAAGCTTCGTGACTCAATTACGTCAATTTTTTGTTTTGTTTTAATAACCTAATACTTTTCTTAGGCACCAATTCGTATATTCGGTTCAAAAATACAACCTCTTACTTGTGTGGATTATCAAAATCAAAATCCACATATTCGTTATTCTTGTCGACAAATTGATCAAATGTCTAATGATTTGAAAACGTTACCGATTTTCCTTGATGCTGATTATGGTAAGTGATGAATGGTAATTTTGTTTTCCTTTTATAAAATGTAAATTCATCTTAATGATTTTTTATTTATTTAAAAATAATGAAATATTAGGGATAAACATTTTCTAAGTTTCAGATTTTTATTTTCCATACAGTTTTCATTTCCTTCTATAAATATCAGTAAGGCTAGAACATGATTTAGATCAGGAACCGATCTAGATAATCACTCCGAATCGAGCAGTACTGGATAAAAATCCCATAACATAATGTTCTGGATTTATTTCATCGTTTTTTCATCTATATGTTTCCTATCCCATTGATGGGAAAGTATTAATTAAGTTAGGAAACCACTCTGAGATAGACTAATAAGAGAAAAATAGTAATAAATTTGAGATAACTATAAAAATCGTACTTACAGTTAATTATTTTGAAGGTTAACGATATGATTATATCATAAGAGAGAACTGGAAAGTGTGTAGTGACAAGTTTCTAGGAATCGGAAATGAATGTCGTTAGTTACATAATCCCAAATACCAAAAAAACAGCTTGTTGAGAAAGCAAAATGTGTAAAACCTAGGATCTATTTGAACTGTTACTGTGATCAGCAGACAGATATGCTAAACGGTTAATTGACCATCAGTATTGTTAGTGGCGAGACAAAAATTGTAGACGAATCAATCAGATTTAGGATAACAGGTCTTGGATTTTTGTGCGAAATTCACTCACCCATTTGGCCAAATAGCGTTTTGGGATTTTAGCTGATGTCAGTTCGTGATGAAAAACCGTAGATCTAATTTCTAAGCCCAACCATCAACTGTAAATCATAATGCTTAATCTTTAAACTGCATTATAACCATTTAGTCCTAGTAAGTAGGTTGACACTTTCAAGGTCACTTTGGCGCCGCTCAAAGGTCGTTCACCGTCTGTGCTTTTTAAAACTTGTTTTATACAACATTGACATAGTTTATTTCGTCACTTTACTAGGCTATTATTAATATTAATATTATTATTATTATTAAAAATAATTTATCGCAAACGACGACAAAAGTCGACATTCTATGTTGGTCGAGTAATATACAAACTCAGAGGCCTCGAAAAAAACTTGGAATTTCTGCTTCTGATCATTTATAGGATCCTGAACTCAAATTAATAGAATCCAAAATAAGGACAAATTATTTATCTACTAGGTCTTGCTTTCCAATTGTTCTTTAATTGATATCAATCCATCATGAATGGTAGCTTCCAATTTGAATTAATCCTTACGAACTCTGTGTTTACTAACAATAAAAATCATAAATGTGTAAAAATGAGTTTTGTTTAATGCAACCTCTATCGTACTCATTTTGATCATTAGACTAATGCATAATGTCCAAAGTGTTTTCAACTATAGTATCAACTTTATAAGCAAATGTTGAGAGTAAAGAAGTGACTGATATTCGTAAAAATTAGTTTATTAATACAATTCCACTTAAACAAACAAAGACATAAGGTTAGAATGGTTCACTAGCCTCACTTGGTATATATATCTTACTGTATTTTACAAAGACAATATAACAATTTCCATACATAGTTGTGTAAAATAACTGAAAATATTGATAATAAAATTTTCCTTCTATTCAAAACGAAAGATTGGAATAGTTTTTTTATATCCATATACTTTTTAGAGTCTAGTACTGTTGGTGGGCCAATCGGTGGACAAACTCGAGTTGTTTTACGAAATGAACATGCATCGTATATTTTCACTTGGTAAGCTCCAATGTGATTTTCTTTTCTAATATTGTATTTTTGGAATGTTTTATTACTACATCGTGTTGCCTTTTTATCAAGTATAGTTTTTGTTACTCGACTTTGAACCATATTATTTGCATAAGAGCTGTCTAGAATGAAGTAAGCAGAATGGGGTTTAGATCTTTAGTCTGTTCATTGAGAGCTGAGTAGTTTAACCACTATGTCGCCCCTCTAATCATTATATTCAGTTAGTCAACTTGTCATAAACAACACAGGATCTAATTCAAATGCGAATCAATCCAGGTTTTCACACCTTATGCTATACGACTAAGGGGTTTCTCCTCATTCCGAAACAATCAGTGATGATGTGATTTATAGAAATAAATATCGTGTTAAATATTTTGCGTTCATCGTTTATTCCACTATGAAAAGCTGCAAATTAAGCTTCTCCATATTGCTCAACGAACTTATAAACAAAATAATTTATATACCGAAAGTAAGATGACAAATTCGTATGGTGTACGTAGTCGATTTTGACTTCGAGATAGCATCTTACAAGCAGGTATCAGAGTTGACAGTCTCCACGACTATCAACTTTGATATGTATATTTACAGGATGCCAATCAATGATCAAACTCAGATGTAATTGGAAAATTTAATTCAGTTCATGATTATACACCTAATTAAATGTGATAATGAAAATAATAGTAGCGTTATTTTAAAGACTTTTCCTACAAATTTCGTGCCATTTTGCAGGCTTTTATAAGTTCAGTTTGTTCTTTTTTATAGTTTTGATTGGTGGTATGCTCTTTACACGAGCGTATTTTAGCCGATGAAGTATTTACAGTTTAGAGAACTTCGACAACAAAGAGTTGGTACTAACCGTTCGTTTACATGAGCTGTCGTAGGCCAGAGACTATTTGACCTCTGAAGATATGAAAAGTTGCTAGCCTGTAGGGTCTTAGGCCGTGTAAAAACGTATACTAAATTCTGAAACAGTTGTTTGCCATTTCCTGTGTTATTACAGTATAATACTTAATTTATGATGATGCTGTATATGTGTCATTTCAGACATTAAGAGAGCCCATTATACTTCGGTTTGATCATGACTTCACTTATCACTAAAAATTTACTGTATCATGCGAAGTGGCTTAATAGTAAAATTAAACTAGGAATAATGGATTAATCTAGTAACTTTCTCTTCAATAATTTCTTGATTTTCATTCACCTATTCACCTTCAAACATATTTCCATATTTCATCCATTAATAGGAAGAATCTCTTCTTTTCTAGGTTCTCATTGGGCACCATCGGTCTGGGAATGTGGATATACTTTTTCATTTTTTAACTGGACAAATAAAAGAAAAAAAGAATTATTTTGTACATACAAATATAGTTTAGATATCCAGACAAGACAATCCACTCGTTTGCCTATCCCTTGTATTTATGGTTATTTAATTCGTTGTCTACAACAACATCTCAGACAGTATATGTGTAAATGAGCTAATTGAAAGTGTCACTCATCCACGTACCTCCAACATAACTCAATAAGACCCTGATCACCACGAAATCTTATTTCTAGTATTCTTCTTATCAATCTTCTGTTTTCGTCTTTTACGATGTATGCCACTGCTGTCCGAGATTGTGAAGTGTTCTCCCGATTGCACATACCTAAGCACGGTGAAATTGATATGACGAGATACTACGGGCTGAGTAAATAAAAAACTAAAGTAATTAACAAAATATGACACAGTAACAAAAACAGGATAGAAACAAGTAATTGTCTCATCTCAATCAAGAATAGGAAATGCGCTTGATTGTGGAGATAAGATTTCAGGTTAGTGTATTGAGGATAGAAGACCGATAGCCTGTATTAGTCCTTTACTAGTCAGCTTCTGAGTCTAGTCTTTCCTTGAATGAGTCAGTCAAATGAGTGGACACCACTTCTTCCAGTAACAGGTTCCAAGATTTAATGACTCGGTGTGAGAACCTGAATGTCACGGGTATTTTGTTCGTTGTTGGCTATAGCACTCGCCTGCTGTCCTCTGAGTTGTCCTGATCTGGTATTAAGAAAAGGAGAGAATATGTCAGGTTCAAAATCACTTCCAAGTATTCTATGCATCAAAATCAGATAGCCCCTTAGTTTGCGGTAGGACGGAGTAAATATGTCTAGCTTGTCGTGCCGTTCTGTGTATAATAAATCCTGGGATCGCGTGATTAGCTGCTTCCTCAATTTCTCCCAAGACATCGGAGCCACTTTTTAAACAGAACTTGCAGCCTGGACTTAGTTTCCAAGTTTGTGTACATTGTATTGGAACGTATTAGTGTCTAACTTGGTTATTGTCCGTCTCCAAGCCCATATGATTCCGAACTTCTCACCCACGGCCGTACGGCAGTGGTCCATTGTCTTAAGATGATGACTTACTGTTACCCCAAGATCGTTTTGAGGTCGGAATACAGGTCCTGACTCTTCCTCTATGCTCCACCTACTTACTTTTGTGTTCCTTGTGTTCACGTAGATGCGTGTAGCCACGCTCATAATTATCAGTCATTTTTTGGCCCAGCTAATTAGAACTTCTAGTTCCCCCTTCAGTGCTCACGCATCTGTGTCTCCTGTTATCTCCAACTTTCTGCGTCAGCGTAAAGTAGCATCGAGGGTTAAATCATACTTGGGAGTTCACTTCTCATACAGTATAAATAGTAGAGAACTCAGGGTAGTTTCGCGGTACTTCACCAAGTGCTGGTTTATAGGAAGAATACTTGGAAAAGGTCTTTACTTTCTGTCCGCGACCTAGCAAGAAATCCTTTATTCTTAGACTTTCCAGTTTTAAGTGGAGTCTGCCACTGGGCATCTTATCAAATGCTTCACTGAAGTATATGTGGATAACAATCACTGATTTTCCACTATTTAGCAACCGTCCATTTCTCTCTCGGTATTAGGTTTTTTGTGCAAGATAGTCCTTTTCTGAAGCCATTTTTGCTGTCTAAAAATTTGTTGGTTCTCACGAACGTTATTATGACCTTTTTTCATTCTTCGTAGTATTTTGTCCACGATATTGGTGAGGTTGATAATTCGTTGCATTTATGGGAGTTTTCTTGATCGTGTTTTTCAAATAGGAATGACAAGTGTACCCTTCTAGTCCATAGTTAGTTCACCTTGGTCAAATGACATATTGAATATCGTAGTCAGTGAGATAGCAATATAGCGTCTAATTTTCCTCAAGATTTCAGGGTGTAGTGCATCTGGCTCCGTTAAGTTTTCCATAAGTAGTGTTAGGGCCTTTTGTACATCGTTTCGGTCAAAGTTACTTATTTCAATCCGACGTGTAACGTTCCATCGCATTTACTATGCTAGTGCTGACAGTGACGGCCAGGATATAAATGACTGAGTTAGTAGGTTGTTTAACTGTCGGAAATGAGTTCATGCCTCACCTACTGACGCGCCGGGGTCAACGTGCCAATTTTCAGCCGAGGTTGAAGAGTTGATGGCTATCATGTCTGCCTACTATATGTTATGACGTGCCGGTGCAACTGCTTGATAGACCATATCAGCCGTGAACTTGAATAAGATGGCCACATTATCACTTCTCACTATACGTGAGAGGAATTTCACTTGACTGACATCATCACAGTGTGTGAAGACTAAGTCAAAGAAATGCGGAGTTTTGTAGGTCATATCTGGTGGGATCTCCAATGCGTTGGAATAAAGCCAAAACAAATGTGATTTCCAACAATTTCCAATCGGGCACTGTTTTTTATGTCCCTACTTCTAAGTTTCCTCGATTTGTAGGTGGTGTATCAAAGTGACCAACCATAAAGCTTCTGGACCTGTTCGGCCAGGGTCTGAATTTACTTAGGGGGAAGTCATTCATTACTCATTCTGGACGGAGATGTACTAGGCCTACGTTCAACATCTTGCCTTTTTTATCTTAACCTGCTGCGTTCTAGCTTACATGTTCCTGGATTGTATGTCACTGCCTCGACGGCTCGTGTGGTTGGGGTGATTTACGTGTACGTGACAACCCCACCACCTCTACGAATTAGTCTACCGGCCACATTGAGAAATAATCGAGTTTCAGCGTAATGCACTTTTGATGTTAATCATGTTTCTGCGATGGTCATGACGTCACGGTACTTTGTACTCACCATGGTTCCGAGCTCCGCCATTTTAATGAATAAGCTTCTAGCATGTGTGTAGCATACATAGTTTTACAATGTGAAAACTCTCAAGCATAAGGTCTTATCAATTCGGCGGTGCCCATTTCTTTCTGCTTCTCTTGGTCATCTCTGAGGACCGCTTGGACATGTATTACAGATCCAGCCAGTTTGCTTGAATTTTCCAGTATTAGGTTTCTTTCATCAGCAGAAGCAAGAGTGAATTTCAAGGGTCGGCCTTCCTAAATACTTTCGGGACCCACGTTTTGTCCTTTTCTATAAAGTCTATGAATGTTAACCCCTGCTATTAATCCTGGGACTAGCTTGCATGCCAAAGGCTTAACGTGGCCTAGGTCACATTCAAAGTTAGCTTTTGATATTTTCCTGAAGACCCTTAATTTATGAGAGATGACTCATCTCTCTGCGAGGTCTATTTCGACAAACTTTGAGTTCTTTTTCCTGAACCCTTCCCATCCCCTACACTTATTTGGCAATGGAAGTGGAGGTCTGACTTTTTCCCTGGTCTTCTAGGTGTTATTATAAGCCACTCATTAACTTTATTGTTTCTTAATCAGATCTTTTGCAACGTCCATGCATTGCTCCTGCATAGTCTGTTTTGCGCTGTTGTGAATATCTGTATACAGTTTTGTATTTGAAACCGTCAACACATTTTTGGAACTCTTTTCAACTTGTATCTCCTTTGTGTGCTTATTTTTATTCCTCGTATTCATGTGCGTATTTGTCATCCACTACGTCGTGGAGGTTCAAAATGTTGGTTTCGTTCAAATCTATGGATAGACTTATGACAACATTTGTTGCTACCTCGAGATCTGATAGCTGCCCATCTGCTGTTGGTTGCTTGTCTGAGGGCATCTTTTCAACAGTTTAACAGCTCGATCGCCTCAGAGGTTGGCAGATGCTTTTTAAAGCATTGGGCTATAACCACACAATCCTCAAAGTTGAACACGAGACAGCTGGAAAAATAGATATTCGATATTTAACGTGGAGAAAAATCTAACGATGGAGGAGGCGGGAACAATGAGTTGAATTAATTCGAGTTGATCAAATGTCATGGTCCGGCCTTGCGGGCGTGGTTCCTGCTGAATGTTACCCTATATCTTTTATTCATATTAAATATATTGTTCTTTCTCTAGCCTAAGCTTGTTCTCCATCATGTGTTGGTGATTGCTACGATGCAATGAGTTGTTGTAGACGATGATGTGTCTTCCACGTAAGATCTTATAGATTAGGCAGTTATATCATGGAAATGTACAATCTTAGGATTAGGTCTGTTATTAGAGCAGTACTAATATCATAGTAGACCATAATCCTACAGTGCAGTCAATGTGAGTCCCGTGCATACTTGGTGATAAAACTTGTTACAATTGTCACGTAGTCTTATATCTTCAACCGTAAGGAAGCTTGAGGGCCTACCACGACGACGTTTTGGTTGTGCCATTGAAATTGTTAAGTAGGTGCTTGAAAGAACCACTTATGGTGTTATTCTTTAATAGCTCCTATTATCAGCAGTGTTTTCAACCGTCATTCACTAGATTGTACATGACATATGTCATACCAACCAGCACTTCCACTTCTTTGAACCAGATAACAAGGAACAATTTGTTTGATAAACCAGTCAAGTAAATTTGATATTTAATAATGTCTCTTTATTCTTCTCTAAAACACATAAACTCTATGAAGAATTTTCAAGATGGGTTATCAGGCGAGTGATTGGTCTTGATTATATATCTTAGTAAGAAAGACCTCAATATTTAAGATACCCTTTTTAAGTAACAGGATAATGTTCGATCTGATATCATAATATTTTATATAAAGTTCGCCAAGCCACCCTAGCAGGTGCATATAATCGGAACATCATCGACACCGCCAGTTTGAGGCAACCCTCGGATGATGGCACGTCAGAGTGCGAACATCCATTTTTTTCTCAAGAGCAGTAGCATCAATTTTGAAGTGCCCTACCACCCGAAGTGACCACAGCCGATTCAGTTGATAGCTTTAAGAGAATATTTGGATATACGTGCTCATCTACGGATTGAAACCCCCCTCTTGGACTAGATGTGTCTACTGCGTGTCTTATAAATTGCCACGTTATCATCAATGCATAGTCAATACTACTTAGTATGTTTCTTATTATCATCTCCAAATCCCCTATTGTCATTTCAATTCCGTGTTATTACTCATACTAACTAATTTTTTGTTATTCTCAAAGCATTCATACTCTCTTAGCATTTTAATTATTAGTTTATAATCTTGACATTGCACTCAACCAACTTTCTGCCTGTTAATTTAATAGCTGCTAAAATTCAGAAACCCTACTCCTCTTGGGACAACTTTACCATCCTCCCATATGGTGGCTGCAACTCTGGAAGCATTTCGTGCCAACAACGTCGTTTGCCAACTGGAATCCATATGCACCCGGATAGGCCACATGACGCAAGGATCAAGCACAAAGGCAAGTTGGAGCTGACCATTCCACTTGTGGACTGTCTCGATCACAAAAAAACTTGTAAAGGACAGGGCCTACCAACTTGGCAAACCTTATATAGGTAGGGTATCTGTCCATTCACGTAGGGCTCATACAAATAAGCAGGAAGAATCTCACGCGTTTCAAATTGAAAACATCTACTGCTTATATATAAACTTCGCTAGTCTACCAAATAAAATGGATGAGCTACGTGAACTTAGCAATGCTAATAATGCTCATCTGATAGGAATATCTGGAACTTGGATATCTTCTCAGTTTACGGACCAGGAGCTAGCAATATCTGGGAGGTTTCTCTCTCTCAACGACAAAAACAGAAATTGGGGGTGGAGTAGCCCTGTACATACGATCATGCCTGGAGGTACACCAACTTCACAATCAAGAGATTATCAGTCTTGATGGACCCTTATGGTGCTCTGTAAGATTGTCTACCACCTCCAGTTGTCTAGTTAGGGTCATCTACAGGAAGCCCACGACAACCGTATACGGGAAGGATTATC